TTGAGCCACCGCGCCCGGCCAATTTTTGTATTTTTAGTAGAGACAGGGTTTCGCCATGTTGGCCAGGACGGTCTTGATCTCCTGACCTTGTGATCTGCCCGCCTTGGTCTCCCATAGTGCTGGGAGTGTCCCCACAGACCCTAATTTTAAAAGATCTTCACGGGAATTCAGAACGATAAAGAGGGCTTTGCACCTGCGAGACCTGGGGTGTGGCTGGGCTCCTGCCCTTGTTAGCTCCCAGCAAGAAGGACTTGAGTCTCCTACCTGTAAAATGGGGTGGCCGGCAGTGCCTGTGCGGTCCTGCAACAGCGCTATGAGCTGGCCAATCGCGAAGTGTGGTGCCTGGGAAGGGCAGTGTGCGGAAACCCCCGGCTTGCGGTGGATGCCACTGGGGGCCCCATTCCTTTCTGGGGCAGGTACCCTCTCCCCACCTGCTGTGAGGGGGGCTAACAGCTCTCAGAATGTCTTCCCCAGAGCTGACCCACTGACGAAAGACCTCTGGACAGAAATGACTGGGCCACTGTGCGTGCGTGTGCATCCGCGCATGTGTGTAGTAAGTGCACATGCACGTGTAGTGTGTGCAAGCATGCATGTGTATAGTATGTGCGTGTGCATGTGTGTGTTGGAGGTGGCTACAACCCCAGGCTGGCCGACGCAGGGTGTAAAGGCCCAGCCTTGTGCCTAGGAGGAACAGGTCTGCGGCTTGAGCTCTCCTGAACCCACAGCTCCAACCGGCTGCTCCCTGGTCCCAGGTCCTGACAGGCTTCTCCTCTGATCCGGCCCTTCCTTAAATCTCGTGCCCCTAAATCCTCGTCTCATGCTCTGCCTGTGGGCATCTGAGCCCAATTACTGCCCTACGGTCCCCATGCCCGACGCTGTGCCCACTGCACCCACCTGCAGCACCAGCAGCATCTGCACGATGGCAGGGGGCACGCGGGCATGGGCCCGGGCCAGCGCATCCTCTAGCTTCACACTGAGGGTAATGGCGTTCCGGAAGTGCAGCAGGGCCAGCTGGCGCACCGACGGCTCCTTGCCCTGTGGAGGGAAGGCACCCCACCCCACCAGCTGCGGTCACAGGCGTCCTCATCTCCCCTCTCCCGACCCTGGGACCCCAAAGGGGGAAAAGACCTGCTGACCCTCAGGCCCCTCCACCCATTCTCCTCAGATGACCCTGTCCCAAGGATAGAGGGTCCCTTCAGTTTCCTCTGGCAGTGAAAGGGTTACTGTCACAGAGCCCCCTACTCTGTGCCTCGCTGCTGCTGCTGGGGGACTCACGGGGAGGGAGGCGTCAATATCTGCAGCTTGAGCAGGTGGAAACAGGCTCCGAGCAACTCAGAAAGCCCAAGGAGAGCAGCACAGAGCAGAGCAGGTGTGTGCGTCCCCCAGCCCGGCAGCCCCCCTCTGTAGAGTGAGGCCAGGGTGGGCACGGCAGGGGCACTGGGCTTCCCTCCCCAGGGCTGGGCCGCCCACCTGCACCGGGTAGAAGATGGCCTGCAGCATGGGCAGCACGTCACTGAAGAAGAAGTCCCAGGTCTCTGCCAGCGAGTCCAGCAGCTTCTGTCCTGTGGGCAGGGGGGCCGTCACCACTGGGCCTGGCTGGCTCTGGCAGATGCCTCCACTCACCCAGGATGGGTTGTCGGAGGATGCGGGAGTGGAGGGCCTGGGCTCAGGCCCCTGGAGGCACCTGCCCAAGGTCGACGTCCAGCTCCACAGCTCAGCTGTTCTGTGGCCCTGGGCCCACTGTTTAACCTCTGTCTTCCATTTATAAAATGGGGCTAAGGGATCAGCCTCCCAGAGCTGAGGGCATGAAATGAGAACAGGGAACTTGGCTCAGGGTCTGCTCCTGGCAGATGACAGCTACCAATTCCCAGGCCTTTGTCACATACCAGACCCACACAAGTGAGAGCCACAGAGGTATACATCTGGCACAGGTGAGACCCACACAGGTACACCCGGCACAGGTGAGAACCGCATAGGGGAGATCTGCACAGGTAAGACTCACACAGGTACACCTGGCACAGGTGAGACCCCACAGGTACACCCAGCACAGGTGAGACCCGCATAGGGGAGACCTGCACAGGCAAGACCCACACAGGTACACCCAGCACAGGTGAGACCCACACAGGTACACCCGGCACAGGTGAGACCCACACAGGTGTGATTGGCACAGCGGTTTCAGCTCACATCCTAGTCTCATCAGATCCTCCTAATAACCCAGTTAAGCAGTTGATCTCACCTACCCACCGACCTCCTCCCTCCTCCCCCTACACTGCCTGCCCCTCCAGCAAACATATACAGAACACCTACTCTGTGTTAGCCCTGATACTGGGCACTGGGGACCCAGCTGAGCCCCAAACAGCCACTGATCCATCACATGGCAGGGAAGTGGGACACTGAGCAGGATCATAAGGGCAGTGGCTAGCAGTGACTGACCCCCACCAAGCAGACAGAGGCTGAGCCTCCGAGGAAAGGGTGCACCACAGTCAGTCGCCCGGAGGACCCAGGGCCAGGCCAGCTCAGGCTGCCTGTGGTCAGGTCTGGGGAGACACGGAGACCACTTCCAATAGTAGCACCAAGTCCAAGGGAGGAGAGGGTGCAGAGGGTCAGGCAGGGAGGGCTTCCTGGATGAGGGGCGATCCAAGCTGGGCTTGCCAGACTTAGTGGTATGGGGACACATCTTGACAGGTGAGCCTCTGAAGCAGATACATAGGTAGCAGACATCGGGACCAGCTCTGCAGGATTTCTGCTGGCCCTGGCAGGAACGGTGCCATTCACTGGGTGAGTGACCCTTGTGGGATGGGGACAGCCACCCAAGCTGGCTCTGAGCTCCGGTGGGAAGGGCAATGTGTAGGACCCTTGGCCTTTCTGCCCGGACTGAGCGGCGCTGGGATGAGGGCTGCTGGGTCCAGGGATGCACAGTCCAAGGGCGTGTCCCCAAGGCCTCTGCTGTCCACCGGAAGCCAGACGAGCAACTGGCGAGAGAGATCTTGGTGTGGCCGCCTCTGAGTGAAGACAAAAGCGTCGCCGGCTGTCTCTCAGGCTGCAGCCCCGGCCAGAACTGCTTTGAAGTTTCCATGGGAACGTGGAGGCTGAACAGGGACCTTTGCCTCTTTTCCGCACTCTCTGGGCCCTGCCCCTACTCCTGGAAGCCCCCAGGTTCATGTAGGTTCGAGGGCACTAGGAGTGGGACCCAGCCAGGAGCAGCCCCGGGGGCTGGGGGCGAGCTGTACTGGTCCCCATCTTCGGCTCCCGGCCTGGTGGCCAGCCCTCTGCCCTCCCGGGTAGCCCACGCCTGGCTCCGAGGGCAACGGGGGCCAGCAGGAATGCCCCGGACAGGCGGATGCTCACCGCCCCGCCAAACCGTGCCCGCACACAAAGTCCCTTCAGTTCCCCTCTGCCGCGGCAGGAAGAAAGGCGGCTCAGTTCCCAGGCCAGCCGGGGGGTGGCTCTGGGCACCGGCCAGGCCCGCGTTCTGCTGAGCGCAGGCTGTTCTCCAGCCCACGGGGCGGAAATACTGCGGAAAGCAGATGTTGTAAAACAGAATCCAGGCCCCAGCTGGAGCCACACGGTGACAAGAGGCCAGGAAGGGCAGCCTCGTGGCTGGTGGGGCCCCTCTGTGGGGCAGTAGGGTTAGTCAGAAGCAGGCACGGGGGCGACCTCAGGAAGTTCCTCCGGGCGGACTCAGTGGCATCCTCTATGAAAGGGGTGTGATACACGTCCCCACGTGGGCAGGTGGAAAGTGGAGATTAAACAGCACTGGGCATTTGCTGCCGGCAGGACGGGGCCGGGGTGCGCGCGCGCCGTGCCTTGACTCCAGCCCAGCAGTAGCAGGGGCTGATGCAGGCGAGCGGCCCCGCAGTAGCTCCACGCTGGCTCCCACCCTGCGGTTCTCACTGTGGGAGCAGGCCGGGGTCTTTCCTTTGTCTGAGTGCTGAGGGCCTTGTGCAGGCCCTGGAAATGAACAACCCTGTCTCAGTCCCTGTCGGGAGACCCAGGAACAGGAAGGAGCACAGGGCAGTGTGAAAAACTACGCGCTGGGTGGACCAGGTCAAGGGCGTCTGGCGTGGGGACGGCCGAGGCACAGGCATGGAGGCAAGTGTGTAAAGCAGCACAGCTGGGTAATGTGACCCACACTGGGTTTGGATTCCCTGGTGGACGAGTGACGGCAGATCCCAGGGCCCGGCAGAGGACCAGGAGCTCCTGCCCAGAGGTCCCAAGTTTCAGGTTGCCAAGGAGTTGCCCGGCTGCAGCTGGAGCCGATTCCCTTAAGCCACACAGAGGCCATCGAACCACCACCCCGGCCGCGGTCCAGCCTTCCTCCCCTTCCTAGGGAGGGAGCCCTCCACCTCAAGGCCGCTCCTCCAGGCTCTCTGCTTCCAGGACCCACTCTGCCCAGGGGCTGAAGTCCAAGGCCTCCCTGGAGGCAGAGAAGGGGCAGGGGGCAAGGTCCTGGGGCTGCCCCACGGGAGGCCATCACCACCCTCCGGCAGAGTTGCAGGCTCTGTAGGGACAGCTCCCACTGGAACTCAAGCAGGGGTCGGGGGCAGGAAGGGGGAGGCCCCTGAGGCCACCCATCAGGGTGTGGACTTGGCTATGCCCCCATTGCATGGGGCCGAAAGGGACCAGACATTCCCCTGAATAGACCACACTTTGAGGCCCTACTCAAGGGCCACTGCCTCCATGTAGCCGTCTGACTGTCAAGGTAGAATGAACCCTTTCTTCTCCAGGACACTCCTTCACATTGACATTCATCACACTGGACCGTCACCCTCTGGTCCGTGTCTGTGTCCCCAATTGGGCTGTGAGTCCCTGCAGGGCAGGGCAAGGGTCTCCTCCATCTCTGGGGCCCCAGAGGTCACCTGGGCCTGACATGGAGAGAACACTCAAGTGGACAGAGACTGTTCAAACCCACATTGCTAAGACAGGGGTGCTGAGGCCGGAGAGGAAACCCTGTGTCTGCAACTTCGTGGGAACTGGAGGCCAGGGCCTTGGACTCCCAGCTTAGAGCCCAGTGCCTGTCCCTGAGGCCTGGGGAGACCAGGCAGGGTTGGCGAGGTGGAAGAGGATGCTGGGCCCCTAGGTGCGGCCTCTCAGGGCTGCCCTCTGCCCCTTCTGCTGGGCAGGCACCACTGCTGAGAGGCTGCTCCGGCCAAAGCTCCACTCAAGCCACACAAAACTCCCTTCTCCGAGAGCCCCAGCTCCCCTGGGCCAGACCTGGTGGGAGGCACAGGCACTACTGGAATGTGCCGCATCAGGCAAGGGGCGTGGGCGGGCATCTTCCTCAGGTGCCAAATGCTCACAGCTCTGTCCTGCCAGCCTAGATGCTGCCTCCTCCAGGAAGCCTTCCCAGAACCCCCGTGTCTCCCCCACGGTCTGATGGTTCTCATAGCCTCTCTTCGTGTTCCTGTCTTGGCTGGACCCACCCAACATGTGCATTGGAGGTGAGGAAGGACCATGACATGCAGCTCCAAGGTCCCCTGAACATGCCAGGCCTCTGGGCCTGTGTCCTCCTCTGTGGAGTGGGCTAATAACTCTTTTTCCCAGGGTCAGAGGGAGGCCTGGAGGAGGAGCCTGGGGCAGTAGAGTGAAGAGTATGGGTTTGGAGCCGGTGGCCTGCTTGGCACCCTGGCTCTGCCACGGAGCAGCTGTGTAGCCTGGGAGGGACACCGTGCCTCACTTTCCCCATGTTCAGTGCTAACAATGGTGGCTTCTTCACAGGGTTGTGGAAATCAAATGAGTTAGTAGATGTGAAACACTCGGGACAGTCTAGCAGGGAGGGACGCAGACGCCCAGTGCCCGGTGCACAGGTGCTCAACACACAGGTACAGCGCAGGCCCGATCCCAGCACAGGGCCGGGTGCTCAGCACGGCCTGAGCAAAGCAGCATCCGTGGGAACTGCGTGGCCCCCGTCAGCTGACCCCGCTCCCAGGGCAGCTCGCTCCTGCAAGGTTGCACACGCTTCTGCTGCTGCTGCCCGAGGCTCTCGGCCACAGGGAGCCCATCCTGCACAGTGAAACCAGCGGGGACCTCGCCCTCTGCCATGAGAAGGGTAAAGGGTGTGTGCCCTAAAGTCAGGCAGACCTGGGTTCGAGTCCCGCCTCCGCCCCGACGTGCACGGTAGCTGTAGGCAAATCACCTCTCATCACTGTGCTCTCCCACTCAGGAACAAGAACTTGAAGGTCCCCGTGGGTGGCCGGGAGCCTCGACAGAGAAAACTCAGCTGAGCCCTGGACCCCGTCCCCTCCTCTGTGAGTATCGGCGACCTCAGCCCTAACCCACTTCTCCTCTGACTGCAAAGACCGGGACAGGGGTTCTTCCAGGCTGCGGGAACAGAACTCACCAGGCCCGGAAAGCCCCGTGGGCAGGGAGGGGAAGCAGGGCTTTTCCCCGATGTCTCGTAGCCCTTCTTGGCTCCAGCAAGTTCGGGGGGGCAGACCCTCTCCCAGGGTCCCCTCTGGGTAGGGATCTCGGCCCTGCTGCCCCAAGGCTGTATGTGGTCCTTCCAAGCCCTACCGGACCAGAGAGCCACACCGCAGCCAGCCAGCACCCAGCACGGTCCAGAGCGGCCGCCACGGGGCCCACACTCACCCTCGTAGAAGCGGATCTTGTCCCGAAGGATCACCATGCCTTTTGTCAGCAGCTGATTCTGAAGGTAAACACAGAGGGGGGGTCACCGCCCTCGTGGATGCCTTGGGGTGTCCTGGCCAGCAGGGCCCCCGAGAGTCCATCCACCAGGGAGCAGCCGAGGCTTAAAGGGGGAGGAGACTCACCGAGGCCCCACAGTCCACCTGCTGCAGGGCCTGAGCATCGGTTCTCCCAGGGGGCAACTGACCCAACCCTGGGTTGTCACGTGACATGGGGTGGTCACACGGACATCCCGAGAAATGGGCTGGGCCTACAGCCCCTTGCACGGGGCTCAGCTGGGCAGGCAGAAGCCTGGCATGTCCCACAGTGACGAAAGGACTTTGCAAGGACTTTGCAGCAAGAGGGGGCTCTCATTACCAAAGGCGGGGCTTCTCAGCTGCCACCCTACCTCAGGGACCCTGCACGCATTGCCTGAGGTGGCTTGGCTGAGAAGCATGCTGTGTGGTCTCAGCAACCCAAGTGTCTGCCAATGAAAGAATGGGCCACAAAATGTGGCCCATCCACACAAAGAAATGAAGCACTGACTTGCGCTCCAATGAGAAAGAACCTGATGCTGACAGAAAGAGTCCAGACAGAAGATTCCACACGCTCGTGTGATGCCACTGATACGAAATGTACAGAATCGGCCGGGCGCGGTGCTCACGCCTGTAATCCCAGCACTTTGGGAGGCTGAGGCGGGAAGGTCACCTGAGGTCGGGAGTTCGAGACCAGCCTGACCAACATGGAGAAACCCCGTCTCTACTAAAAATACAAAATTAGCCAGGCGTGGTGGCACACGCCTATAATCCCAGCTACTCAGGAGGCTGAGGCAGGAGAATCGCTTGAACCTGGGAGGCGGAGGTTGCGGTGAGCAGAGATCATACCACTGCACTCCAGCCTGGGCAACAACAGCAAAACTCTGTCTCAAAAAAAAAAAAAAGAAGAAGAAATGTACAGAATCGGCAAATCCAGAGACACATGGTTGCCTCATACTGGGGAGGGCTTGGCGGGGGGAGGGATTACCAATGGGTACAGGGTTTCTTTTCGGCGTGATGAAAAACTCCCAGAATTAGATGGGGTGAGGTTGTATACTTTTGTGAATATACTAAAAACTCACTGGGTGCAGTGGCTTACACCTGTAATCCCAGCACTTTGTGAGGCTAGGACAGGAGGATCGCTTGAGCCCAGGAGTTCAAGACCAGACTCTGGACAACAGAGCAAGACCCCATCTCTACAAAAAATTAAAAAA